TAATGTATATTCTCTTATGGGCATATATTCTTAAATATATTAAAACCTAATTTATTTATTATTTTAAAGATTTTTTTTACTTATGTATATATGAGTGTGAGTCTACGTGTGGGTGAATGCACACATGAGTATAGGTGCTTGCAGAGGCTAGAAGAGGGTGCTGGAGCCCCTGGCGCTGGAGTTACAGAAGGTTGTAAGTTACCCAATATGGGTGATAGGAACTGAACTCAAGTTTTTAGCAGTACCTTAACTGCTAAGCCATCTCTCCAGCACTCATTCATTATTTAAAAAGAGTTATGGAGTAGATGAAAGTCTGAACAGGGAGTAAAGTGTACGAATGCCTTGAAATGTTGTAATATACACCATGTTTTGTCTTACTAGATCACTTATCATACTGTGTGGGAACTACATACTAATGCAACAATACATGTGCACAGACTCTATAGTTTTGGATTCATCCATTTCTAGGAATGTCATTTGGTCATTGTGCTGAGTAACTGCTGTTCATATAACTACTGGTAAAATATTTCAGTTATAACCATTAGTTATATCTCTTGTATCTCTTATATGTAGACTATTGCCTGGCATTTAGTAGAAATACAAAACACAATGGATAGGTGAATGAACACATAGGTTCCCAAATTAGGCCTGACATTTGCTTTAACTATATAATTGCAAAATAAATAACCTTCCTACACAATAAAAAATATACTCAGGAAGTAGGTCTGGTATAGATGTATAATAGTAATAAAGTAAGGATAATATAACTTATTCTATCTCTCTGGAGATTATAGCTACCTTAGTAATTTCCATAAATAACTAGGACTTAGTGATACAGCACTTACCCACTAGCTCCCACATAGACCCACATACATTTATACCAATATACCAAAACCATTATGTCATATTAAATTATACATATATATGTAGATACATACATGTTAATTGATGGATACACACACATAATTTTAGGAATTGGCAGTATATTTGTTTATGGGGTAGAAAAGATTATCAGGTAAATTATGATGAATATTTGGATTCATAAAGGTAAATATACTTTATAGTTCATCACTATCTAGCAAAGATGTTCTAATCATGTGGCCATCCCTAGGCTTCACTACTAATCTTGTTAAATCCATCAAGCACTGGTTTCTTCAGTGTACAAGATACAAGCAGATGTAGTGCAAGTCTAAACTTTAGTGCTATCATTTTTTAAAAATTATTTATTTTTATTTATGTGTGTGCATATGTGTGCATCCTACATGTGTGCATGTGCTACATGTGTGCAGGTTCACATGGAGACCAGAAGCAGGTAGTGCTCTCATTTTTATACAAACCAGTTATTAATCTTAAATGCTGAAAAATACTGCATTCTGAAACATACTTGGCTTCCAGGATTTAAACAAAATCCTAATTGATCTGTCGTATGTGTATTTGGCTTCTTTCTTCACCTTCTATCAGCAGTGCATTACCACAACTTAAATCTTTATCAAATCTTACCATGTTTCGTTACCTATAATGCCCTCTTTGTCCCTGTCAACAAATTTGCTGAGCTGAGTAAACCAGACCATGGTGTTATATTCATTGGGCAACAACTGGCATATCTCTTGCAAGTGAGGAATTTCATAATTGGTTTATTTATATTCAAATAAAAGTTTATTTTAATCTAAATGAATAGCAAGGCTCAAGGTATGATTTTAATATAGAACATGGATGTGAACATGATTAGAAGTGACATTCAAGACAGGCTTTAAGTCTTGCCAAAGTCTAAATCTCTGGTTTGGTCCATCCTTGTGTCTCAGTCTGACTGGTAAACTCAATGACCTAGAAATTATGATATTTATGTACTATTAATTATAGTTATCTTTCTCTATGTTAAATTTGTACTTTCTATTTTTATTCTTTACAGTCTAATTTCTTAACCTTTGACATGGCCATTCCAATTCAAGCGCTTTGATTTTCTTTATGCCATGTCTTCTCCTGGCCGCTGATAATGGCTAACACTTGTATTTTTTATGCTGTATTTTCTTTTCTAACTATGACTGCATGTGGCAACCCTTAGGCTCTTCTCTTACCGGGAGCCAGCAATTTTCCATTTCCATCCATTTCCATTAGTGACAGCTGATTCCTAATTTAGAGAATTAAGAACTTAGCCATCGGAGTGAGCTTTCTACTTCACCTTAGAAGAAAAGAGAAAGGGGCCAGGAAACTGCTCTAATGATATGCCAGGACAATTTTGCCCTCTGCTTCTTTGTTCTCTTTAAAGCATTTCATCCCATAAATAATATATCACAAAACCTTTGGACTTCAATTACAGAGATTCAGCATTTTTCAAAGACTATTGCAATATTCAGTATGTCTAAAAGAGTTCAGCTTTAAATATTGAATGCCACCTTGAATAATCTCAAGTGAATGTAACATTTTATCCTAGTCCCCTCCATTTTAGAGTGAAACTAATGACATTAGCAAACATACCATATGGCTTCTGATCTGACCTCTATTAGCCACGAGGCCTTGGTCAAGTTATTCAGTAGTTTCTGTGCTCCGTCTTTCCACTGGTAATTTATGAACGCGTGAACAGTATAAAGCCAGGCACAGAGTAAGTTTGTAAAAGTAAACTTAGAATAACGTAAGTGGTGAGATGGTTTTAAACCTCAAAACCAAGCACTTTAAATGGTTGAATAATATCAACATGCATTTTTGAGTGCATTCTAGTGAGAACGCTTGCTGTGAACCTTTTCATGGAGGGCCATTTTCAAGGTGATTCTGTGACTAGCAAACATCAAGATTGAGGAACTAAGAGCTGCTCCTTATACTGGTGAATTTTATTTGGATTTCCAGCTAAGACCCAACTATCCACAAGGATGTTACTATGATATAAGAGGCTCTGGAGGGCCTGAGCTGTGATTGGCTCACCACACACTCTTCCCTGCCTTTTACTACTCTCCTACCCAAGTGTCTTTGCTATACATAAGAAACCACTATGCTCCTCTGTCAGAACTAATGATCACAATTTATTTCATATCTGCATACATTTTTAGATTTATGTTTTAATGGGTCTTTTAAAACCTTATGTGCATGAGTGTATTGCCTGCATGTGTGTAAGTGCACTCCTGTTGTGCAATACCCACAGAGGTCAGAAGAAGGTGTCAGATCCCCTGGCACCGGAATTACAGATGGTTGTTATCTGCCATGTGGGTGCTGGGAATCAAACCCAATTCCTCTGTAAAAGCAGTCAGTGATATTAACCACTGAACCGTCTCTCCAGCCCCTAGATTTATTTTTTATGTGTATGACGTTTTCCATGAATGTATGTATGTGCACCATGTGCACGTAGTGACCACGGTGGCTAGAAAAGGGCATCATATACTCTAGAATGGGAGTTAAAGATGGTTGTGAGCCACCATGTGGGTGCTGGGAACTGAACCCTGATCCTCTGTGAGAAGAGTAAGCACTCTTAGCAGCTGAGCTATCTCTCCAGACCCATTAGTTTTGTTTTTCACAGACATTGATATTACAGGATTCTACACTAGAAATAGATTATCTACTTTTTGCCCTATAGACCATTCTAGGTAAAAGAGAATCACAGACAGTTGGCTATAGTTTAAAAAGACTAATGCAAGTATTCATAAAGTGAAGTGTGAAGGCCATCAAAGCAAAATAATCTCCTCTTTCTTGAGGTTCTATAGTGCCACTGATGAATACATCCCTAAGAAAGTTGTAAACGTAGAATCTGCCTCCTGGGCCAAGGCAGAGCCCATCCTTAGCAAAGACGTGTACTCTCCTAACAGTGGCTAAGTGGCTGGAAAGAGCTGAAAATAGGACTGTAATAAAAATATTAATTATCCTCTGCTCACCAGACCAGCAAACAAGCAGGTTTATCTCCTCTCTAAGAAGCTGTTTCTCTAATTATTGCTTGTGACCATTAATGAATTGAATGATGCTGGAGTTCCAGGAAAGGCTGGCATGTGCCTCAAGGAACACATCCTCATAGGTTTCATTCTTGGGATTAAAGTATTAATAATTATTTAGTTTCAAAATTTGGATTTAATTTTATTTTTCTGACACCATTAAAAGAAAAAAAAATACACTGTCAATGCAGATCACAAATGATAATTAGTGAACTTCATGTCAAGAATTCAGAACAGATTTAATGTGGGAATGCTTTTAGATTAAATGTATTTAACCTGGTAAAATTATCGTAACTTTATATAAAGAATAATGCACAAAAAGTATGCACATAAAATTATGCTTTTTTAGGAATATATTTTTCCTCTATTCCTTAGTACTGTGAATCAAAAACACATTAATAAACAGTGAGCCATGTAACAATAAATTTAAACAAATAATATAATTATATCCTCGGTACTTTTTTCTAACATCCTCAAAAATCTTTTTTATGTGTAATAATGTGCTATGTGTTTCAAAAACGCATCTGTAAATGAAACAGGACAACAGCGATTCTCAGCTCACGTTTACCTGGGCCACTAGGTGGCATCTGTATATCACACTAGCTCGGTGAAGTCCAAATGATAGCATATGAAAGAAAGAGGCTAGTTTTATTTTGTTTTCCGTTTAAATATTTTTGTGGGAATTAGTATGGAACACAATATCTGTATGTGTGTGTGCGTGTGTGTGTGTGTGTGTGTGTGTGTGTGTGTGTGTGTAGCTAAAGGCCATATAACAAGAAACACAGTACCAGACAGGAAAAACTTCCAGTTGTTGGTCACCGTACCGTGAGATCCGAAATTACACAGGCTCTTGCCACAGCACTTGATTTCACATAACTTCTTAAAGAAGAATGAAAAACCTTAAAATTCTATATTCTTCTTTTTCCATTTTTGATACAGGGTCACCCTGTAACCACAGCTGGCTTGGATAGCGCTATGTAGACCAGGCTGGCCTTGAACCCACAGGGATCCACCTGCCTCTGTCTCCCTGGTGGTGGGATTAAAGGTGTGTGCCTCCACGCATGGTAAAAAATTTTATTTTCTTTTTAGGTGAACACCGTCTTTGGAAAATCTTAAAAGAGAACACGGTGAGTTTTTGGTTTTGAATTCAGTTTGCCAGTTCATATTATGATCTCCCAGTTCAAGGAAATTCTCCATCAATAATAAGTTAGCAAAAAAATAAAACCACCAATTGCATGTAGCAATATTAAATGTATCACATTGGTAGAAATAATTTTAAGTGATAAACTAAATAATTTACTTGATGTTTCTGTGAGAAATACTAAATTAGTAAATGCTAAAATTTTTAATTATTAGAGCCAAAAGTAAACATGTGAAAATATAAATATATTTATAGAGATGAACAATATGTGAAAATATAAATCTATTTATAGAGAAGAGCAATAATAGAAAACAGAATTATTAATTATAAATCTTTCAAATGTCATGTGATACTATCAGAAGCTATCAACACCAGTATATTAAATAGCAGTTATACATGCCAATTATTGTCTGTTTAAAAGAGAAATACAGAGCTCCATTCCTTTATGTTAAAATATGATCAAAGTAATTATACTGGAATATTAAATATCTGCTGCAGAATTTAAGCAAAATGAAAAAAAATAAAATCAGTGGACACTAATCATCCAACTTTGTTACAGCTTACTATCAAGCTCTAAGTGCTGCATTGAGGTTCTTATTCAAAATTGCACTTTTGAATATATATATATATAGTATATGGATATATCAACTTAGTATTACATAGCAATATAAACTGAATAGAGATATGGTATTCAGATCATGAGAAGTAAAAATTTGTGGTCTGGAATCAATAATTTACATAGAGAACTATCTAAGTTTTAAAGCAATTTTAAAGAAAAAGCATTCAAAGTGTAGTAGACTAACAGTATGTTGTATAGAAACTCATGTAAGAAAAGCTTTGGTATAAATAACTAAAGGTGCTTCTCTGTAAAACATCCTTCAAATACCTCCCCCATCCTTATTATATTTGAAATAGATTCCCTTTGTTTATCTTTTCTCTAGAGAAAATTTGGGACAAATAGGTATTTTTTTATTTATTTTGTGCACACACACATACACACACAAAAGAAAATATATCTGTATCATCTATCTACACAGATATAGATACATAATTTGTGTGTGTGCTTGTGTATGTGGTGTATATACTCATGTGTATGTGAATATGCATGTGTATGCATGTATGTTTGGTGGTCGGAAGCCCAAATCAAGTGATTTCTTCTTTTTTTTTTTTTTTTTTTTTTTTTTGAGACAAGATTTCTCACTGGATCCAGAGTTCACAGAATCAGCTAGGTTGGCTAACTAATGAGTTCAAATTACCTTCCTATCTCCATCTTCCCAGTTCTTGGGTTATAGATGTACACCTGCACACCCAGTTTTTGATGGGGGGGCTAAAGATTTGAACTCAGATCTTCATGTGTGAAAGGCAAGCACTTTACTGATGAGCTATTTCCCCAATCTCTAAAGTTTCTTATTTATTGAAATAAGACCATGCATTTCAACAGGTAAGAAATAGTTCTGCAAGTGGTCTTCACATAGGAAATATTGATGTATTGTTTCTATCAAACAGGAAGAGAGAGGCTGGAGTCGATGACTTTTCAACACAAAGCATCTGCAAGATTTTGGTTTCAAGTTATTTACATTATAAAATTTGCAATGATGAATGATGAAACGGAAAGCAGAGTAAGAAATACATTTGTGGTGAAGTAGTCTCTTCTGTGGAGAAAGGCCCTCACCAGTTACTGCAAAGCAGTTGAGCTTGTAAGTTACAGATCGTAGGATATAATGTTTGTAGTTATGGAAGACTGCTGTCCCTTTATAAAATATTTTATAATTCTCTACCATCTAAAGAGGGCAACAGTCAGACCTTCATCTTGGACATCTGAACATACAGTTTTTCTGTTGGAGGGACTTGTTGTGTGTCACAGTTTATACAAGCACCTATTTGTAAAAGAATTTTCTAAAACAGTGACTGTCTACATGTTAAATTCTATATATGTAATATTCATCTTGACAATATATTTTGAAGTGAAAAATCCTTTTTGTTAAATGCGTTGCCAGAGAAATATTCAAATGCAGTTTGTTTCAGGAATTATTTTGTCTCAAACACTCTTTTCTTGCTCTCAATAGTGAAACAATTACATGACATTAGTAGACAGCAAAGTGTAGGTCTAGCAATATATTTTAATATGCTTTCCTTTGTCCTTATTGTTCCAAATAAATAATCTTCAACCCCTCTTGACTACAACAAAAGTATTTCTACTCTAGCAGGACTGATCCATATCTAGCATCCCAGTGAGTGTGAATCAGCCCTGCATATAACATTCAATGTTCATGTAGGTGAGTATAAGAATCATATTTTAGACAGGAATCGTGGTATGTCCTCCTGAGGGGCCTCTTTTTATCAATCTCCTACTAAAGAGAATCATTTTTTGGCCCTCAGAATTAGATCAAACAAATAGGTTGTTTCTAAATAGTTTTCTTTCTTTCCTTCTACCTCTCCCTTCTTTCCTCCTTTCCTTCCTCTTTCCCTCCCTTCCTTCCCACCTCTCTTTTTTCCCTTCTTGGTTTATTCCTTTATTTCTAGACACAGGGTCTTACTATGTCTCTCTAGCTGGTCTGACTTTGCAGACAATTTTCTAAGTAGGTTTCTAAATTAAGTCCTTGCAACAGCAGACCCACAATGTTGAGCTAAAACTAGGGAACTTGGGACCTGAAACAATTTCCTTCTTTGAATTTCACTGACTTGATCTGCAAATGGATGAAGTATTACTTTCTGGTTTTGGTTGTGTGCTTGGAAGTGACTGCATGCTGGGGATCTTTCTCAAGTAGATTGTGAAAGCTAACATCTATGATTTGATAGTCTGAAGCCTCTGACAAAGCTTTTTGACAGGTATTTAATATTCTTCAGGCTTTTCATCCATATCATTATCTATAATTAGTCTATTTTTAAATGTGCATAAAGAGAATTTCCAACAATTACAAATGATATTGTTATATTGCATGCTCACCAAATTACCTGTCAATCATTATGTGTATTTTCTTAAAGTAAACCTTTGATTTTGATTATAAATGCAAATAACAAAATAATTAGGTCAATTGATCTATTTGAGTGTTTTCTTTCCACATCATATGTATTTATTGAGGCCTTTGTACATAAAATGCTAATGTGTCCAATATTTTTCATAAAACTTAAACTAGTTAGGAAATACTAGTTGAAATGATACCTTCAAGTACCAAGTTTTCATTTTGAAAAATATGTCTAATGGGTTTTTCTTATATAGGGCAGAACAAGTAACTCTTAACACTAGCCATTAGGGTACTAATGTCTGCTCTAAAAATAAAGAAAATATTATTCACTAGGGGAAAGGGGGATGGGAGAGATAAACTACAGCAAACGTCATTTGGGGAATGGATCCAGCTATGGAAATGTAAATGGATTTTAGTCTATACTGTAGTATGGGCTGTTCGAATTGTTGAATCTGCTAATAGTCATCCCTAAATAGGACAAGAATTAGTCAGCCATTTTGTTAATTTAGAAATTTATATTTATAGTTGCTTTAGCCACCAAGTAAATTTTATATATCAATTGTCTCATTTCTACATTTATTGAATATTATAACTAGCATTTATTGATGTCACTGTTCTATGTATTGGGTATCAGCCATTTGGTTTTTATAATCTCACTTAAACTTGTGTTAATGCTATAGATAAGGAAAATGAGAAGCCAAATTTTGGTAACCTCTCTGAGGTCACAATAGTAGTAAATGATACAATCCTGAGTGTATGAACTACAGTGTTAAACATGAAATTCTTATAAGTCTTTTTAAATGGATCTAGCTCATAGACTGCAGATCCTGTAGGTAGGTTTTCAATGTCAGTTCTTTTCCCCTAGAGACCTTGTGACAAAGTACATTCTGATGCAGTAGGTCTAAGGAACACAGCCTTCAGTTTTACTTACAAATTCTCAGGTATGGAGCTCATTTTAAAGATCCAAGCACTAGGCCTCTGCATTTGCTCAATTTTACCAGAAGCCCAAAGTCAATTTCAAGGTCAGGTTGGTTCATACTTAGTTCATCTGGCTCCAGCAGACTTCAAAGGAACAAGACTTCCTGGGCTTTGTAAATGAGCTAGACTAAGGCAATATTTAGCATTTAAGGGTCATAACTTTGATCACAAACCTAGTTCAGCATAGAGTGATTTACACTGATTTATAGTCCATAGTAGAATTCACACTTATTGGGTGTTTGTTCTTAGTAGCTCTGTGTGATAGTGAAGCATGATAACCATCTTAGAGGAAACAAAGACCAGACAATTGACTACTGAGACAGGTCACTTAGACAGCAGAACAGTACATATCCAGAGTTTCCTACTACATGTCAGTCCTTTACTTCTGTTAGTTGATCTTAAACTGTGCTACATTTATTATGTAAAATTAAACATAAATGAAGGCTAGTCCTGAAGGAGCTTAGGGACAGCCACATTCTGATTTTAATTTATATAAACAATCCAGTACAAGGTGATTCAGAGGCATTCAATCAAAATTTTTAAATTGTTGTTAATATGAACCTTCTTAATATGAACAACATAGCTGCAATACAGTGTTATATTGATACATTTCAAATTACACTTAAGTGTTTTCGTAGTCTTATCTGCTTCTTTACTCAAAGAATACCTATAAATTGGTGTTTGTAACATATTTCCCAGATTTGTAAAGATGATGTAGCTGGCAAGACATTGGTTATTTTTCTCTTGTGTGTAATGGAAATAAATGTATTAGAAATAATGTCTTCTTCCTATACAAAGCTGTGAGTTTTTATGAAAAAATAAAATAACTCAGAACTCAAAGCTGATGTTTAAATGTCAAGTATATTTACCATCTTCAGAAAGCTAGTATTTTCAGGGGAAATAAAGTTCTAAGTTAGTGTGGAGACAAAATCATGAAGACAAAGTCAAGAAATTCTGTCAATAGAAGAGGAAAATACTCGAATAAATATATGTTAGCACATCTAAAAATTCTTATAATTATTTAAAGTAAAAATTTCATTTGATTTCACTTTAATTATAAATGAGAAGTAAAAAGACAATAAATCCAAATTAACTTAAAGATTTTTCTCCCTTGAAATGTTTATTGAAGAATATATACATAAAATGTTAAGCAAAGTAATGTATTGAATTGCCTCCAAATAATTTTATACAAACTATTTAGCATGTACAGATGGAAGATCTAGCTACCCATCTCAAATAGACAGCAGCGATGCTTATCATACCTAAGCTTTCTAATTTGTTCACATTTTGTGACAGTCAATAAAATGACTCCCTGAAAACAATGCTTAAGTAGCACCTCTAGGTCACTGTGTCCACTCCAGCTACTTTTAAAATATTCAGAAGAATAAGATTATTTTGGAAACTTTTTCTTCCAGTGTATATGTACCTCTAAAACTAAACACTGGGTATATTTTGAGTCACACTAAAACTCAAATCTACTGAATAACCCTCAAATTGTCCTGAGTAAACTGTCAGGACACATTAGCCTACAAGATCATCATAGTATGCAATTACTAAACAGGCTTAGGTATGGAATCATCATGAGTCATTTTCTTCTTTCATTAATTTTTTGCTGGTTTCCAAAGATACAGATAGTGCAGAGAATAAGGAGATAATAAGGCATCTGCCTACCTCTTTTGCTTCTCATTGGCTGCTGCCTCCTCCAGACTCTACTCCTGAGATTAGTCCTCATTTCCTCAGTATCACAAAGCTCCACCCCACTCTTGGCCCTTAGACTTCATGTACCCCCCTCTTCCCACATAGCAAACATCACCAGCCTCATTCTTCTTATGATTTGTGCTTTCCAAGTGTTCTTTCAGTTGAGAACAGGAGTTTTACTGACTCATGACTGTATCTTTATCATTGTTCACATTGTTTGGTGCCTAGTAGCTCCTAATCATTCAGTAAATGCTGAATGATTGATTCTGGACTAGAATGTAAACTTCTGAACAATTGCTTATATTCCTATTAATTGGTGATAACTAATACCTTGGGGCAGTTAATGTGTTATTTTAACATTATTTCTTTAGAATAGGACATTAAGTTTGGAGAGGAATGTATTGGGGGGAGGCAGGGAGGAAATGGAAATGGATATGAACACAGTTCATTGTATACATGTATAAAATTCTCAAAGAACAAAAAATAAGATTTTTTTAAAGTTTAATGTTAATCTCATAAAATAACTGGAAATTATCCAGATGTGTCTGTGAAGACATTCAAACCAAAATGCATTTCTTAAATAAAAAACATACTTAAATTTGCCTTAGTAACTCTTATTTTAAGAGTTTTGAGTAAAGTATACATGATGCTTGATTTGTTGGGGTTTATTGACAGTTAGCTAGAGCAAGATTTGGTTTCCCTCCACATATATTCGATAACAGTAGTAGACAGATGATTGCCAATTTAAGCTGTCTTGATAGATCATCCAGATACTGCATCATAGAGAAAGTAGTAGATCTTAATTACATGTTTGGTTATTTACTACTGTAATTTGTAATGTTTGGTGCAATATTTAGACTTACGAAGTTTGAGTGTTGTTTCTTCATCCTATTGGACACTGGAGTGTATTTTTGATATTTACATAGAAATGAGAAGTGTATTTTAATACTTTTTAATTATGTAATAATTTGATCTAATCTTGCAAATAAAAATCAATATCCAGGAAAGATTTCACCATACAGTTTTCTAGGCAACCAATAAATATTAACTTGTAGCTCCAACTAAGAAGCATAGATTGCCAAAGGTGTAATTTTGGAGAAGTTGGATTCAAGTTCCTTCTCTAGAAGATTTCTGAGAATATGCTATCAGTGGAACTTACATTATATGTACCAAGGTGAAAATGTGTTTTTAAGTCCTAAAAATGTTTGAACAAAAGTTATTATTTGGAATGTGATCTTCAAGGTAATTGTTTACATATTATCAGAAACTATTCACACAGACTCATATTTGCACATCTTTTTTTAAAACTCTCTTATAAAGATGACAAACTGGGAAACAAAATAAGATAGCCCAAATGCTCCCAAAGGTCAACAATCTGTTATTTAATCCATTCTTCAAAGCTTTTTCTACTTCTTCTGAACTTATGCAAGGAATATATCCAAGAACAAGGCTTCAAAATCTAAGCCATGTTCCACTATTTGCAGTTATCTTGGATCTTAACTAGATGTGCAAGGTGACTTCTGACCATGGGGAATCCTCTCCATGTATGGATTATGGATTGCTGAGGCCATGGCAGATACCCATGGCAGATACAGAAGCAACTTCTTGTTCTGAGGAAGATCCACAGCGCTGCAGAACAAGGAATATAAGTGAGAGTTGCCACAACAGACTGCAAATAGGGTCACCAAAACACAGCCCTCAAAAATGAGCTCTAAAGGTGGAAGTCTACAATTGTAGAAAAATTAAGTTTTAAAGTGCCTTCAGTTACAAGACCACTGGTAGATATTTGGGAGCCACTATATATGCTTAAGCAGGTAACAATCAAAATATCTGTGGATTCCAAGCTCATTAAGTAGGTTAAGGCTGTGTAAATTTAAATGTTTTTTTTTTTTCTGCATTGAAAATTTTTGAAAAACAAAATCTTAGTTGTATGGTGGGGGAGATAGCAAATGAAAATATTCAAGCTGTAGTAATAAAATATTTGTCCTTTAATCATTTCCATAAAATATATCTGAAATAGTCCCCGCCCTCACCCATAGTCATACACAAACACACCAATTTTTAAATATTTTATAGTGGCCAATGAAGGTGTTTAAATAGATGTTTATTAATGGAACTCACTTTTGAATTTGTTTTTAATAAGTTGTTAATCCATTTTAGCCTCAAATCAATTCCATTTCATTTCTCAATTCCCTTCCTGGTGTCTAATGGCTAATGTCTGATAACATAAACAGGTCTTCTTCTGGCACCGTGGGAATTATGTGTTCTGAGCTCAAATAATCATAGTTTATAAAGTTCTCTCTCTCCTCTTCCTCCCCTACTAGGACTGACAAAGGTATTCCCAGGGGTAAGAATTTTTCTTCCTCTCTCTGCTGTCCCTCCTCCAGCCCCTCCTCTTCCAACATCTCCTCCTCTTGGTCTTCTTCACTGTCCTCCCCCTTGTCACCCTCTTCAACGTCCTCCTCATCCACATCTTCATCTTCTGTCTTTCCATCCTCCTCACTCTCCTCGTTTCCATCACAGACCTCGTCATCACACTCTTCCGCATCATTACCATCATTTTCCTCCTCTTCCTCTGTCTGCTGCGGGTTTGGAGACTGGTTTTGTTGCCCCGCGGCACTCCTCCTCCTCCTCCTCCTCCTCCTCCTCCTCACTCTCCTCCTTTCCATCACAGACCTCGTCATCACACTCTTCCGCATCATTACCATCATTTTCCTCCTCTTCCTCTGTCTGCTGCGGGTTTGGAGACTGGTTTTGTTGCCCCGCGGCAGGACTGAAGGTTAGAGGGGGCTCCTGCATGAAGCCATACAGATTTTCCTGCAACTGCGGGTCTTCCTCAATGCCGCAGGCGGACGCGCCATTGGCAGTGCATCCTCCCTGAAGGGTGTCGCCTTCCTGGGCTTGCTGTGCCCGCAGCGCCGCCTGCTGGCGCTCCAGCTTCTCTTGCTGTTTCATGTCTTCATAGACCTGGTTCATGATGAACTGGGTGGTGTTTGGAGGCGCTCTCATGCCAGGTGCCCGCCACCCATACGGGTTGACTGGCCGCAGCAGCTTGCTCAGGTCTACCGGTGGGTTCCGCCGGAAGGAGCGGCGAGAGTGGCTACGCAGGCCTCGGCCCCTGCTACCCCAGCGCATCTTCCTGCCTGGGGGTCTCTCCCAGCCGAGGTTCCAGGGTGCGTTCCAGCAGGAGCAGCAGCAAAGGCAGAGCGGATGTAGGCCATAGGCCCGAATCATCTGCGCCGGGCAGATGGGGTTCTGGGATGCCATCGGAGGTGGGCGCCAGGGCCCTCCGCATTGACCCCAGTTGGAGTACATGGCCCAGTAGGGCCGTTGGGGTGGTTGGAACCAAGGACCTGGGCGGTGCTGTTGCTTGGGCTGTTTCCTGGCAGGGCCGTACTCGGCTTTGGGGCCATTGAGGTAACAACACTTGGACATCGTAGCACTCCTGCGCCTTCGATGGTAGGATGACCAGGTACGCACTGGGATGGAGGATGCCCAGCCACCGCCGTCCGGATTGAGAGGGTCCTCCCTTTCGTTGACAGTTCCAGTCATGGTTCAGGGAGCTGCTGCTGTAGCGGTCTAAGTGGTAGCGTTGGAGGAGCTGTCAACTCTGACCAGATCCGATGGTCTGTCTGAATAACTTCCTCAGCTTGTGTACCTAGTGCCACATGCCTGAGGCGCCTCTCCTGTCCACGGGGTTCCTTCTCTTTCTCTCTTCTCCACTTGCTCTCTCTCCTTCAGAATCTCTGTCTTTTGCACCTGGGTTGTCTTGCCCAGGTAGGTTGGGTGGGGTAAGGATGATGGGGGAGGAAGGTGTTAGTGGGTGATGCGCAGTGAGAGCCGCTCCCGGATCCCACATACACCCGCATCTGTCGAGGAACTGGCTGGGGACCGGAAAGGCAAGGGATGCGCGTTACCTTGTTGCTCCCTCTCAACCCAGGTGCTTCACAGTCGCCATCCTGGCTAGACTGAGGAGGCACGGGCAGTGGCAGCCTTTAAATACCGGCTGGGGGCCCCCGCGTGGCTACTGCGTCCTTGGTTGCCCAGGACGACAGCCAATTGGGATGGAGACGGCTCTCTCTGCGTGGAGGTGGGATTCCTGCCTGAACTAGATGTCCAGTGAACATTTACAGGGGGGACTTGTGACGCAGCATTTGAGAGGGGTGGGGTGGCTGGCAACCTGGCAACGCTTGAGAGAGTTGATTTGAAATCTTTGTGTCTTAAGTCGGGTGAAAGGATGTTGGAAGATGGAACCTTCAGCTGGACCTGCTAGAAATGGAAACTAATCTTTTCCTTAAAGTTTGTGGGTGGCTGGGTAAAGGAAAGTTCTCAGAATCAGAAATCAGGACGCCATAAGGCAAGTGTCTTATGGCCTGTGCTCACTCTAAGTTCAGAAGCAGAAGCTCGGTTCATGATGCATGAAACATGACATCCATTTATTGTGCGTGCATCCCAGTCACGTAATATTCATGTCTACCCAAAGAGGAGTTTACCGCATTTCACAGATCCTGAATCTGAAGTGGCTCCATCCTAGGTTGTAAGGATGCTGAAATTTAGGGCTAGCTTTTAAACATAAACCTATTTGACAAGTTAGGTTCATAACATTACTGTACTACCAACACCCCTTAAACAGCCTTCCTATGATAAGTGATGAAATACATGGGAGAAAGCATTTTATTAACTGTGATACTCCATAGATATGTTCATTTATTAAACATTATCACAGAGGAGTTGAGCTTGATTTTGAGAAAAGAACTATTCTGATTGTGTCTGTTTATGTCCCTTCACTGACCTTACAGTGCACACCTTGGGACCTTTTAAGTGTCATAATTAAACATAAAGGGTTTGGCTTAAATAAATAAATGCAGTTCAGCTTCATGGTGCTTTAGTAAGCCTGTTGTTCCTCTCCCAAACCATGAACATGGTCTTGTTGTAGGTAGCATTTAGGTTACGAATAAGGCACTATGACAAGTCGCTTAGTGGAGATACCCTAAATATTCAGTAACTTACCTATCATTATCATATTTATTTGGAGATTATTTTATTTTGTTTTATGTGTATAAGTGCACAAATGTAAGTGGACCTGTGTCAATCAGTGCCCGTGGTGGTCAGAAGAGTGTGTCAGGTCCCTTGGAACTGGAGTTGCAGACAGTTGTTATCCACCATGTGGGTGCTGGAATTTTAACCCTGGTCCTCTGCAAGAACAGCCAGTCCTTCAACCCTTCCTGGCTCTGTATCTGATGCAACAGTAGGCATCACCACAAGCCTTTCCCGAACTACTTTTGAAGAAACATCAAGTAAGCACTCCAAGCCTTGATCCTAGAGAAAAACCATCTCCAAATAATTCTATCACTTTCCTGTGGTGAGTGGAATTGTGGAAAATAGAACACTGCCCCCTGGGAACATCAGTCCATTAAATGCCAAAGGAGCAAAATGTACAAAAGCCCCCACTCTTGCCATCAGATATTGCTCTCTGAAAATTGAGAACAGCATCAGTGTTCTTGGGTCAGGACTCCAGTTGCCTTGGGAATGGTAGACTCCACAGGCTTCATTCAATCTCACTTGCTCATGGCTTGCTCAAGACTTGCCTACTTGAATCATAGAGAATGCTGAAAATTTTAGCCTGAAGGAGCCCTTTCTAGATGGAGACTCATAACTTGGGCAGGTAAACATTAACTGAAAATGGCACAGTGATATCCAAGGTTTATTTCTTTTTTAAAAATATTTATTTAATAACCATATAATTAGAAGAAGCATTTCATTACAACAGCATTGACATATTCAATAGCAATTTCCAGAGCTAAGATGCATCTCTTTCAAAGTTGGCTGTAAATTTTTAGCTTTATAGTTGAATTAATACAGTTATACAATATTGTACTCCATATAAACCCTATAAGACATAAAATTAAATGAGGTTTTAAACTTTAAAAAAGATCTCCATTTCAATAAATACAGTTTCATACAGAAAAATTCATTTTCAATGCAACTGACATTAAGTTGTTTGCACATGCGTTTCTAATCTCTATATATCTGATTAGTACTAGCCACAGTCGGTTACTTTCTGAGCTCCTTGGCATCTGAGCATGGATATAAAGTCATCAGGTAGATTTCAATGGTAATGTTTTTCACATCTGCTAATTATTAAGGAGCAAATTTTTATGCTTTGAATAGTTATTTTTTTCTTTTTTTTATTTATTTATACACCCACTTCCAGGTATCACCTTCCCTTAGCCTCCCTACCCCCACTAGAGCCCTTATACTCTGATATCCCTGCTACTATCTGTTGTGTTGTCGGCACCCCCAGCCATTCCCCACTACTTGCCCTTCTGGTGAATCTAGTCAGCCTATCTAGAGGTCTTTGTTTTAGGAGGGTCAGCTGTTCCTCATCTAGTGGTAATCAGTTGTCTATTTTCCTTTGGATAAGATTGGGGTCTGCTGTTCATTTTCCCAGCTCTATGCTGGGTTACTATCTGGGAATCCCTTTGGCTACCGTGGGCAACAACTCAAAAGAAGATATCACTTGTCTGGCATTGTTGCTTGTTATGTAGCCTTTAGCTATCCAAATGGACTCTTAAGAAGTTATGTTAGCCAATTTAATCTTTGGTTATACTTTCCTTTTGGGTGTTTAAGGCCATATATTTGGCCCAGATAAACCAATTTATTTTAACTCTTAAGGTCGTTTGAGGATCTGTAAGTCAGGGGTCACATGGGCTTGGGAGGAACCCTTGGCTCCTTTCTTTTACCAGTTCCACCTATGTGAAGATAAGTCAAAGGTCCTGCTCGATCATGGTTGGCTTTGCTTGGAAGCATGGAGGAAATGATTCCTCTGTGTTGACCCTCTTCTTTATAGATTGGACACTGGTTCAAGTCCATGTAGTGGGGTCTCCTCGGCCTCCTTGATCAAGATGACAGGTGACCGACTACCATTATAGGACATTTTGAGAGATAAGCTCATAGTCCCCTGGAACTAGTTGACCTAGGGGCAAGAAGCAAAAAGTGTCCTTTTTGTCCCTCTGACCTAATTATTATAGACCTCAAAGTATGCCTGTTAAACACCCAAGAAGGTTAGTTCCACCAGTCTGGTATTTTTAATTACTGTGTATCGTGTAAATAAATCTTGGGCAAAGACCAGTTGTTCTCAGATAACCCTTATCTAGACATATATTCTTGACCTGCTATGTATAATTTGTCAGTAGGTTGTAGGAGTAATATGGTTCTCTCTCATTTTCAAAACTAGCTAGACATTGTTTATCTCACATTGTCTCACCCCTCCATCATGATTTTCCCACTTAGGGTGCCCCCATTTCCCCCATTTCTCCCTTAATAATGCCCTTCTCCTATGGTCCTACCTCTCTTGAGCGCCTTCTTTCCCTTTATGCCTTAGGTTCCTTGTATACCCTTCCCTCCCCCCTCCCTTAAACTAACCCAATTTTTATCCATATCTCCC